CCTTTAAACTTGTTACCTTAATGACATGTTACAAATAAAAATAAATAAATAAAAAAGGCTACAACTCTGCATGTGTTTTAGGTGGTGCCGACTGCCAAGTGAYCTACAACAAAACCATCTGTGCTGTTTGAAGCATACATGAGCTGTTGCCGATTTACTGCAAAGCTTAGCAATCCTGGTGGTTAAATGTCTCATCGTGGCTTTATGAKCACGAATCGGTTGTAAATAAAAGACTTCAAGATGTGTTTCACCCTTTTGCACAGCATGACCTAATCAARTMGCTGTCATGCTCAGTATGTTACATRTGAGTCAGTACATCATGATAAAGGCTGCATAAAACATAGTTTCGGRCATTTATAATGGCCAACCTGCCTACTGAGAATGACATGCTATAAGGCCCTGAGTCATCAAGTGTTTAACATAGTGCTGAGGATGCAGGAATAAACTGCAAAATCAAATGAATCTTTATATTGTTTCAAGCCTATAGTTATTTTTGTATGATAAAATCAAATTTGTTTTATATATATATTTTTTTGCATATGATACTTAAAGCTGAACCTACAAATGAGATTCAGTGTAATTTATTTTTAAGCCATGTTTACCCATGTGAGTAAATTGTTTTATTGTGTTTATAAAGAATTTCAACATATACAGCATTAGAGCCAATGAATAGGAATATTAATTAAAGACTTATTATTTTTTTTAATACATAGAATTAGTGAGAATACAAGACATTCAGATAAAATGCTCCTTGGTAAATGTATATAGGCTAAACAGACATTTTTTTTTATTAACTAAAGTACTTTGACATGGACAGCATGTGAGAAGCCAGATAATGCAAATTGCATATTTATCACATTGACAGATAATTAGACCGATGGCTCCCATATTTTTTTCTAACAGATAGCTACTGGAAAATACCACAATGCATCTATCACTGTCTCTGCCACAGTGACTAGGGTCAGTGGGTTCTTTACATCAAATACATATATAAACAATGAAATACTTAGAAAGAGACTGCAGTGGCCCAGAGCTGCATTTTCATCAATTTCAATTTCATAAATATCCTTATCAGGATCACATAGGCGCTATATTGTCAAGATTCCTGCTCACACACATAAACTTCATCAATACTGCCTTGTGTGATTATTGAATGCCTATAAAGCTGGCAAACCTTTGAGMTTTATAGGCTTCTGCCAGTGAAGCCCACAAAAAGGTCATTTCAATAGCCAGTAACTGACTGAATTAAATAAAGTTGCAAATGTCACATCCATAAGTAAACACTGTCAATAGATAAGCTTGGTTAATGTGTCTTGAATGTACAGAAGAACCTCATTAAATCTTGTGTGTGAAACTATGTGTATACTATGTGCCACACTAAAAAAAAAAAACAGCTTTTGAGGTCAGATCCTCCCATTGTCCTCTAATGGTCCCCATTTGAGCTTTGGTGGGTAAGTATGAGTTACAAGCCGCTGCCTCTGATGGCAATCATGGCCCAGATTATTGTCCATCTGTTGAGCAGCTTAATAAGCATCAGATACAATAACTAGATGACTGTTCATAACGATGTCATGGTTCAGTAACATTAACCTCTCACTGCCCTCTGAGTTCTAGTCAC